ACCTGTGCATTGCTTTGACCAACAGTGCATCGCTTGGTGGCCGGCCTGCTGTTGGGGGGTCTTAAAAAAACAGCTTGCTTTGTTTTGAATTTGACTCTGTTTTAACTGCCGTCCAAAAATGGACGAGTTTTTCTCATATGCCAGTTGCTGTCATTCTTTTCTCAGGCACTTCTCCGAGCAAAGAACAAGTGAAAGTCTTTTCGGTGGGCTGATAAAATACTTTTGCTTCTCATACAAAAAGGAAATGCGATGAGATTTTGAACTTAGCCTATTATCCTTCATTGTGATATTTTCAGGACTTGCAGCTGCTCGGATCCGCCACAACTACGCCTACAGCAACTACCTTACTGTTCGGATACAACCAGTCCCCCGTGAATTTATTCGTTGCTCCAGAAGCAACCCGTGCTAACCAGAAAAATGAAATGATCACAAAAATGCCATTCAAAAATGGTACTTTTCGGCAGACTGAGGTTAGCGATAAGCCAGTAAGAAAATCGAAAAATCATGCGGTGAAACGTCAGATCAGTTTATTCAGCTCAGGGTCGCCACTTCTGGACCCATCCTTGTCGTTATCTGGACTGACCGACCTGAAACCCATAGAATTGGGAAACCCGTTCACGCCAAATCCACTGATGAGTTTGTTTACGAATGTTGCTGCTGGCAGGTTTACAACAATCCTTCCAAGGATACCGAAAATCAAATCACCTGGGAATAAGTTGCCAAAACTGCGCTTTCCGGAACCAGCCCCTTTACCGGATCCGTTCTACAGTCCTTTGATACCGAAAAATGCTACGAAAATTTGGGATGAGCTTTTTGGTCCACGATGAAAGTATTAATTTTTGTCGAAATAATACTCAATTTGCAAAAATGCTTTTTGCGGAAGTAACTTCTTTGGAATGAACTTTTCTGCATGCTCTTCAAGAAATTAGTATAGTTTTTGCTGAACTGTACTCGGCTCCCATGAATTCTGGTTGGGCGGCCCTCCGAGTGCCTTATCCAAACGAGACCTGCATGTTTTCTTTTCTTACACCCTCAAATTTAGCGGGGATTGTATAGATTTTTAAGAAATGTTGCACTTCTATAATTTGACGAGTAGCTGTGATAAAAATGTAATTTGTGCAGCGTTTTGTGCAAACAAATACTGCCAGGAAGATCACATCATTGCACAAATTTCGAAGTATTGAAATAAGCAGGATTAACAGCACTGGTTTAGCCAAAGAAAGATGGACGAGGGACAAAGGAAAAAACTTCAGAAGCTGTCTTTTAAGAAAAATATTCGTAGAAAATTTGACACTGTGAAAATTTCTCACTATCATAAATTTTTTGCTGTGCAACGCTAAGCATTGTTACGGTAAGCAAAAACGCATGTTGTTGTGATGCTCGCGATATATTTATGTTGGCGTGCATGTGTGTGTGTGGGTGGGTGAGTGATTCACTTTCAACTCAGCAATCAGGAAAGCTGGGAAGCTGAAATTTTGCGAGCGCATCCCAACACAACTGTCGTCCTTACAAACTGAAATCATCCCTCGTCTAGATATCTCGTACAAAAGTCAAGAAGAAATTCAAATTTTGCGGTGGGAAAATAACTTCGAAAACCAGACGAGTTAAAAAGCTGAGAATTTAAAATTCAGCTAATATGCAGGTCTATGTAATGCCTACAATTATGCCAAGGTTTGCAGTAGCACAGCGCCGACTCGAAAATCATTGACAACGCGCGTCAGGCTACTCCGTGCGATCATGCGTTTTTGTAGTATATCGCGCTGTAGTGAGATCGCTCGGTAAACCCAGTAGCTGGGAGTTGTGACATACTGGTCTTC